TACATGACACAGGACTGGTTGTGCTGATTGTGTCCTTCCCATCTCATTTGTGACTGCATCCATCATGATATATTGGATGGAATCTGGGAATAAGAGGGATAGCTGCGTTGCCAGATTGCAAAAAGTGCGGTAAAAGAATTTATTTAAATCAGTTGCAGTAAATCAAAAATTGAAGTTAAAGCTCTATTGCATTGCCTTACTTAGTCAAAATGGCTATTTTAATGTTTTGTTTCTACTTACTTGGGAGTTTTTAAAAAGATTGCCACCAAAATGGGTTTCTAAATAAAACGTTTGATGTTATTTTTGAAAATATCACCACTTCACTGGTGCTTTTTTTGTGAAATCTTTCGCTGAAAGATGACAGAGCTGTTACAAATTTGTGAATTGCTCTGGTTGTCCCATAGCTATTCCAGATGAAAAAAAAAATGAACGGGAAGATCTTATCTCTGTGCTTGAATTCTCTTCTTAAAGAAATAATGTAAGCCTGAGCAGACTTTCCAGCAAAATGCTGGGTAGAATAATGGAATATCTCAAGTTGGAGGGGACCTATAAGGATCATAGCTCTCTGGTCCTCTCAGGCTACCTAAGACTAAACCATATGAGTAGAACCTTTCTGAACAGGCAAAACATGCCAGGTAAGAAGTTTGCTCATAAACCTGTGTACCCAGGCTAAAGAAGTAAATGCAGACTGAAGGTTTAAAGCATTGCGAGCTGAACTGCAGAAATTGGTGAGAAGCCCCCTGCAACATCCTTTGTGGAAACAGCTGTGTTACTGTTCCATGCTGTTCCCTGGGCTATTTTTTTCATAAGCTTCCTCAGAAAAGGGACCTTAAAGTATTTACTAGTAGCAATAATATAGTACTGCATTACCTGAAAACTAGTTACCCCTGCCTCCTTCCACAGTTCCCTTATGGATTTAAGTGACCTGAGGATAATTCGGTCTGTGTTTTTCTGAGGGTCTGGGCTGTATTTCTCTACCAGCTTCTTCCCAAGATGTGGTGCTTTGTGCCCCCTCTTGCTTCCACCCATCCCATTACAGAGGAATCAATATGATATCAAGGCACCAGTCATCTCATTCAGGATGGAAACTGCTTTCTGTATTAATCTGTTAAAGATGCTGATAAAGACGTAAGCAGGTTTGAGACCTTGCATTTTTCCATATTGGCTTTTACCCTCCCAAGAGCAAGGCTACAGGAAGGAAGTCCCAGAGCTGGGCAAGGAGCAGGTCTGCTGTATGGCTGACGCTTAACTTTATGCATCCCTGCCATCGTCCATGGACACTTTATATTGCACAGCCAAATGCTGAACGGCTAAATACTTTATAAAGGCACAGTCCTGATCCCAGGCTCTCCGTAGCCCGAGTAGGTTAAGTCCAGGTTCTCAGGGAAGCAGTTTGAGCAGGAATCTGAAGGCTTGATCCTATAGTTATAATGGTGATATTTGAAACCTGACTTTCTTTTCAAGGAATATGTGTGGGAGAGAGAATCAGTGTAGGCTAAGTTGATTGTATCTGTTGTCAAAGATGCTTTTGAGCAGATACAGTACAAATAACTTACGTATAAACAGACGTTTCCAGTGAACTCTCTTGAGTTGCACTCTAAGAACCTTTGTGAGACGCATTGCTGTCTGCCCAGTGAATGACTACGTGAGTAAGCAGAGGAGTTTGATGCAACTGATGTTTTGCTCACATCTTTATTCTTATTTGGGTGTATATCAAGGCAAGGCTTACATTCTGATACTGCTGCAGTGAGCTCTGCAGTGAAAGCCAGGGATGTTCCGCCAAATGGTAATTACCAATAGCTGCCTGTCACTGCAAAATTTTTCTCCGGAGTAGTTAGTTCTTGCTAGCTTTTTACTTTGAACTTATTCATTTGTCCAGGAATCTTTGTGAACTTGGCTATTCCTCCTCCCCTTCCAAGATATCACCTGGGGCAAGCTGCAGGTTAATAGTGTCCTGCGCTATAATCTTCCAGTTATTCGTGTAGACAGCCTATCAAATGTGCAGAAATGGACCGCAGCTCTGATCATCTGGTTACGGGGATTAATGTCATCTAATGCAGCGTGTTGGTACCAAATAGATTACAAGGAGCAGAAGAGGTTTGGAGGCTGAGAGTGTGAGTTGGGAGGGGTGTAAAACCCCTCAGGAAATAGGTAGCCACCTCAATTTGTAACTTTTGCAGTTAATAAACTGTGTGCAGCAAAATGTATTCTCTGGAGTTTGGGGATGTATTTGATGGGGAGGTGTCAAAGAGGACGCTTGCTATAAAGCTTCTGTTCAGAGTAAACAACTATAATCAAGTAAAACTTTGTGCTGAAACCTTGTCTTAATTTCATCTTCTTAAACCAAGTGCAGAAGTATTTTTGGTGCTCAAAGCACCGGTGATTCCTGTAGCTTGTATAGTCTTACTAGGCATGTAAAGATGTGAGTCTTTAACTGGGTGTTCTGTAACTGTGGGTTTAATTAACTTTATTTGGTCAAGACAGTAAAAGCGTCCTCTGTGTACATTATCTAGTAGTTGATATAAATGTGTTGGTATTGGGACATGCCATTGATTTGACAAATAATAGGTCATTAATGTCAAAGTTGACTTAAAATCTGAAGCCACACCTACACGCAGGAGTGTAGGCCAGCACAGGAGTGAACGCAGGCTGTATTAGCTTGCCTGACATGTCATGGCTACACTGCAAGCTTGAGCATCTCTGCCACATTCTGGTTGTGCCTAAAGTGTCTGTAGACAAGGTGCTAGCTTGAACTACAGAATCAGAGCTGCTGTTCACAGTCTGTTTCTCTTTCATCCCCCTGTTGCTTTAAATATATTTAAATCCAGTGAACTTCTTTGCTATTTCTATTGCCACGCAACTGAAAACAAAATGGACTTGAGAGATGTGTCAGTCTGAGGAGGACGTTAGCAGATTCACACAGTGCTCAGCTGCAGTGAAATAATTGTGCAAGGGGACTGCCAAAAGTATACGGTCCTCTGGGCTGGAGGTGCCCCTGGGGCTGGTAACGAGGGCCTGTGCACTTGTCAATCCCAGCCCTCCAGAACTGGCTCCAAGTCCCTCTGGAGCTCCCATTTTATGGCTTGAAGTCCTCGTTGACTGCTTGCTCCATGCTTTAGTATTTTATCATGTGAAGATTAGGGGGAGGGGTAAAGGGGGGTGTGCATGTGTGTGTATGTATAAGAGAGAAGTTAAAATTTGATGCAGTTATATTCAGAGCTGTTTTATAATTATAAAACTAAGACCTTTCATGCACCGTAGGTTGGTTAGTGTGTTAGGGTTTTGTGTCGGTAGTTAACTGGGCCCCTACAGTGCCAAGTGGTGTTTTCATTGCCAGGTAGTTGAGTGCTTAATAAATCTATGCAATGGTATTAAGTAAATTTTATGGCCCAGTCAACTTTTTCCTGGTTTTGGCTTTTAGGAACAGGACAGCTGCTAGACTTTTCAGGTGGCTTAGTTCACATGTGAATTTTGAGCCCAACAGACTTTTCTTAGGAGCTCTTTCTCCCTCAGTTACTCATTAGGTTATTTTAAGAGGTGATCAGCACTAAACAAAATCAAGGCCATAAAGCAAAATGCTGAACAAGATAACTCAGCTTTTGTTGATCAGCAGTAATCCAGGCAGGTGTATTAAAGGCGATGTAAGTTCCTCCCACAGGATGTAGGCTCTGGAAAAAATGCCATGTAAAAAAGCCTCTGTCTCCCCCATTCCCCAGGCTCCCCATTCTCCCCTTATTTTAGTAGTAAAGTTTTTAGATATTGGTTACGTTCTTTTTGTTGAGTGTTATGTGCCTGACTTGAGATGTGGAAAAATTTTGTCTAAAGCTTTATTTAACGGAATATAAAATAATTTGGAACTTTAACTAAAACTGAAGGGGAAAGGAATTAGGGTTGTTTGTACAGATGGGGTCAGAATGGAAATATCTAATCTACGTGTAGGTATTTCCAGAATACCTCATGTGATTTGGTAACCTGATCCACCTTCCCCATGAAAAAGGGCATTTTGGGTGTCTTATCCAATTTAGTAACCTAGTCCTGAGTATTTTTCCACTTCTCCCTGGTTTAGACTAGTTTAACTCTATTGAATTCCATGAATTTTTATCAAACTGGAGCTGATGTAAAATGAGGGAAGGATCAGGTTGAGGTAATTGCCAATAAAACTGATAAGAATATTCAGATGTCATGAAGCCAGCCTTTTGGTTTTTAATTGGAATTGAGTAACATCACCACTGAAGTCAGAGCTGCACCAGCAGGTAAGGTGTATGTGAGATCAGGGAGAGGCCTTATTCTTTCTGGTCCTAATGGCACAGTCTGAGATGGGAAGATGGCCTGGCAAGCGGGGAAGTAAGCTGGAGGAGGGAACAAGGTAATGCTGCAGTACCAAACCACTGCAAATGTCTCTGTTTTACTCTCTGAATGTATTGGTGGTTTTTTGTCTCTTGGATGGAGATGCGCTGTTGACAACAGACAGGGAAGCCTGCACTGTTAATCTGTAAACTGTCGGAGTTGAAGAAGGAACTCTTCTGCAGTGTTCCCAGTATAATGTCACTGGCGTATGCCAAAGCATTTCATGTGGGGCCGGGGCAGGAAGGCAGAGCCTTAAAATCTTTCGTATCTGTTCGGTCTCTTTTGCATAAAATATGAGCAAGTAGATAAATGCAAAACTATTTTTAAAGCTACTTTCTCCTTCTGAAATAGTTTGGCACAGGTTCTGAAGCTTCGCTGTTGAATAAAGAAACTTCCCAGCAACTGCCCTTTGATTACTTCTAAATGTAGGTTACAGCTGTCCTTTTGGGAAAGGCGCATAGCGCAGCATGTGAGAAACTGACACCTTTTTCCTCTCCTTTTCAGAGTATCTCCTCTACAGAAGTCTGAAATAGTAGACATGGTCAAGAAACACGTCAATGCCATAACACTTGCCATTGGGGATGGTGCCAATGACGTGGGGATGATCCAGACAGCTCACGTTGGAGTGGGGATCAGTGGCAATGAGGGCATGCAGGCAACCAATTGCTCGGATTATGCTATTGCGCAGGTCAGAGGCAAAAAAGAGCAACTGCTGTATCCTGTTGTCAGAAATGCGCTGTGCGGCCATCTAGTGCTTCATGGCTTCTCCTAGCCTTCAAGCTAGGAGCTTGCTTCCTTTTCAAGGCAGCTGTCTAAAACAGATCTCTTGGAAGTATTTTGGGGATACATTATTATGATTTTGTATTCTTCAGGGCAAAGCTCCACCTCCCCTCGAAGTCTCAATTTCCTCCTGACAGCTGTGCAACGTCTTGGTTCTTCAGTAATCAGGGAGGAGCACTTTGTTATGCTTATGTTAACGTGCTTTTAAGTGCAACTTATCTCTCTTGGTGCAAGCTCTTTTCTCTTACTATAAGAAGGCATTATAAGTAGGTGTGTAAGAGTTTGGCTAGTTGGAAATTCTTATTTTGAGGTGTCTTTTTTTTTTTTTATTCCCCCCACCCCATGATGTATCCAAGAATTGGTCACAGGTCTAGAGAGCTGGCCAGCATTTTCATTTTAGGTATGTTATTTTGAATGTTATTTCGGTGAGTTACTCCCAAACTATCCCATCAAATTCAGCACTGGTAACTTCAGCTAAAGAGGGGAGTAAAAACCTTTTCTGTTTTACTGAAGACAGCAGGATGTAGAGTAAAGACTTAAACATAAGAAAGGAAGGCAATGCTTCAGTTGCTGGACATCCTCTGAATACTATTTACAGCTGAGGTGCTCTGTGTATGTATTTGAGACTGATCACAGGGCAAAAACAGATGGAGCTGACAGGCAGCAGAGATGATCCACTGCCACCTCAGTGATTTGTGAGCATCAGCTGACGTTCCCTTCTGGCAGGGTGTAGGCAGATTTGCTCTACCAAGTGCTATGAAATATTAGCATCTTTTGATAGTTTCAGTAGAAGGTGAGGTTTTGAAAAGGCATGGGTAATGCTGCTGTTTGCACAGGTAACTGTTTATTGTGTTAACCCTGCTGTGAAGCAAAGTGGCAGTCTTGTATTGCTGCTCTAGTCTGCAGTCTCATGAAGCACCTTGGGTTTCAAGCTTGAATAACTGAGACCTTTCACCAAATTTATCTTGAAAATTTTAGGCTGTTTTATCAAGGGCTTATTCTGTCACAAACAGTAGCATATTCCAAATACACAGCGATATAGGAACTGTCATAATTGTAAAGTCTGTGGTATCTTGTAATGACTTTCTCATTTTTAACTTCTGTAGACTTGCTTCTGCTGTGTAACTTAATTGAATGCTTTTTACTTAGACTTCCTCAGATCATTTTTACTTCCATTTTAATAAGTAAGCATAAGCAGTGAGAGTTTTGTCCACAGAGAGCCCTACACACTTAATTCCTTTTGTTAGTTGCAGTAACATTAAATCTGAAGAAGTAATTCCATGTTCGTGTGTTGCTTCTGCATTACCAAAAACCCCTACCTTTGGATTTAGTGTTAGAATGTTGAAGTAAGTTGCTCTTGGTTTAAATTCCTGTCAGGGAGTTACTGACAATAGCAACGAATCTTCTTAGTTCAGTATTAAATGAAAGCTGGTCACACCAGCACAGAATTTTAACTTTCAAAAAACAGTAAAACACTGTGGAACTGTGTTTCTTGTGATTGTGTGGAAGAGCTTTGCGCTGATTAGAAAATATATAAAGGAATCCCTCTTGTAAAGGAGACTAATAGTATATGGTAATGTGTGTTTCCAAAGTGTTCAAAAGAAAAACTTGATCTCCATGGGGTATATTTCTTTCAGCGAAGACTTATAACTCCCACTAAAGCATTACTGTATGTGCATGCCTTGAAGGCAGAGTATGTTCTTATTGAGTAATTTAAGACGACCACTATAATGTAGCATCTCATGTTCAAATGGTATTTCAAATGCAGTGGTGCCAGAAGTAGGCATTTATGGAAGAGAAAGTCTCTATATAGGCTCATTCAGGATTCCAGGGGGAATCAAAGCATAAACCAAACAAAAGTAAAAAGGCAACTTGTGTCTGATGCTACTCCAAATAGCTTCCGCAGGTGCAAGGAGTATCTGTTTGAATCATCCTTTTCCCTTGAAATGGTACTGCACTGGTGGTGCATATTTAGAGAATTCCCAAATCAAATGACCCAGCTGTTTAGAGAGACGGTAGTATAACTTAATGATTTTTCTCCTCAGTAAAAGGCTTTATCATCTTAATCCAGAGAGCACCTGGTGTTTAGGGACTGTGTCCTTTTCTTAACTAGGGAAACTTTTTCTTAATGTTCATGTTTCAATTCTGTTTCTTTGGACAACCTGGCTTGCATTTTGGATGCATTTTCCCTGTCTTAACACACACACACACACACACACCCATGGCATCACCTCATCCTTTACTCAAGATGGGGGGTATCTTTCTAAAAGATAAACTCTGTATAAAAAAAAACTTATGCTAGGATTGATGACTGCGAGAACTGTTTCACAGATAGGCTGGCCAGATGGTTGTATTGTTCCCGTCTGATTTAAAACTCCATAAATACAGTAGTATCCAAACAAGGGCAGTGTCTTAGCAGAGCCCTATCCCTACAGTCGCTCAAGTATGCCAGTAGCTGTGCGTTTGCATCATTTCAGTGACCACCATCAAAAGAAACTTAATTCCTTGCCACATCTTAATGGGATTCTTCACCAGTGTGAGCAGGCTCAGAACTGTGTTCTTTAGGTTGCTAATCTCTTCCTTGCTGTGCTATGCAGTATGCTCATTTTCATGAGAGTACAGACAAGAGAACAGTTAATGGTAGGATTTTTCCTTGCCTTGAGCTCCAAAGAAGACTACGTCCGAGATGGTCACTCGTTAGACTCACAGAGAGAGCTGCTTTTAGGGTATGTCTAATTATTCTCTACACTACTAGAGGTATTTGGTGTGACTTGTCAGGATGTCGTGGCAAGTTTTCCATCGCTGCTGCTGTGTTTTGTTAGTGAATTTTGATGAGGAAAGTTGTAGCTGTTGCTGCGTATTAACTGAGGCATTAGGTGTCTGGTAGGTCAGCTACTCCCTTGTGAGCGTCCCACTCTTAGTTCTGACTCAAGTTAGGCAGAGACTGAACCGTGAAGCTTGGTTCAGTGTTATTTTCTCTCCTTCTTTCCTGCTGGCATATCCTAACAAATCTGAGTTGCTGGTGCATGGGAGGGAGGCTGTTCTTACAGGATTTGTGGTTCAGTGATTTCAGTGCTGGAAATCATGGGAGCAGAGCTATCTCATGACAGTCTTAATTCATTACCGTAGCTTTCAATTTCAAGTAAGTTTTGGCTAAAATAAATTATCTAGAATCTAAATTCAGGAAGTCAAGCTCTTCCTATCGAGTCACCTCGTGGAAAAGGAAGCAAAGCAAGTAGTGGTCCCACCTTAGTGTCCAGGAACCCTTCAGGTACACAGGTACTGAAGGTAAATCTTGCTGAACCAGTTTGAGCTGTCTGTAACTGGACAAAAAAGGAATGCTGCAGGCCATAAAAAAGTTCACTGACAAAGCCCAGACTAGAAAATTATGCATTTCCTAGGCTGCGTTGTGAGACTGCTTCGCTAAAAGTCCCTTTTCAAAACTGCTGAATTGAGAAGCTGAATTTGAGCCGTATCTGTGGTTCAGACTAGCACTAAAAGGTATCTGTTTTTACAAGATTCATTTACTTTTTGCCCTTTTGGGCAAATGCTCCTTCTTTCTTTATACAGTATTTTAGGTGGATTGCATACGTTTTGTGGGCTGAAAATTTAAGTATTTGTTCTCTATAACAGACTCTATGCATCTATATTTCCACTTCTCCCCTTCTGCATTTTATTTCAACTCAAGACAGTTCTAATTACCACACTGCTCATTTAACACACAGAAAGGAGATTCTGAACCTTGTAAGCCCTCAAACACAGGAATCTTCTTTGACCATGGAATGAGGAGTTCACATTTATATTCAATCCACAAGGCTATATTATGCTAACCTTGCTTGATTTTGCTATCAGGGTAGTAATAGTAATTGAAGACTTCTTCCTGTTTAAAGCCAGCGAAGACCACTTAAAAACACTTAGAGGTTTTGCTACAAAAATGACTTTTCCTGTAAATAGTGTTGTTTTTTGCATGTGTGTTCTGCTAAGCTGTTTAAATATTGCACTTGAACAGCTTTCATAGCTGACCTGAGTTTGTGGTTCGTTTGGGTTTTTTTGGTTGTTTTGTTTTTTTTTTTTTTCTGAGGGCAGGGGTTTACTTTAACCAGTTGTTTTTTTTTTTAACAGTTCTTTGTATATGTAAAAACTTGTTTTTTCACTTTCAGTTTTCCTACTTGGAGAAGCTGTTGTTGGTCCATGGAGCTTGGAGTTACAATCGAGTTACCAAGTGCATACTATATTGCTTCTACAAGAATGTGGTTTTGTATATTATTGAGGTAAGAGTAACTAGATGGATGGGTCTTACTGGTGCTTACTCCTCAGATCATCTCATATAAGAAAAAAAGCTCATCCAAATAGATTGAGCTAAAAGAACTAACATTTTTTGCATGTTTAACAACTTAAAATTCTTTTTCCTTTCTCAGATTAAGTTAGTTTGCTTAAATCTTTTAATGTTTGCAAAAGGAAAACTGAAGGTTTCAGTACAGTGAAGCCTTGGATATGAGATGTCAGGGACAAAGTTCATTCCTTCTGTACAAATGTTCTTATTGAAAGCTTCTTTGTATTCATGGAAACATTTCAGTTGGAGCTTATATTTATAAAACTTGAATTTGGGGCTAAAATTAAATTAAAAGTTCATTTAATAGAAGCAGGAAAGAACTCTATAGGCAAACAATAAATGAGGCAGAAACTATAACTGTTGTTTCCAAGTTACAAAGACCATAGTTTAGCTAGAATTGAAATTAGTTTTCCTTGTGTTTTGGAAGGAGAGGGCATAATTTTGCCCTACAATGCAAGTGAAATTATAAAATTAATCAGGTTATTTGATTTAATAATATTTAAAATGTAACTGTGTTTTGAAAAATTAATTTCCTGAAGATGTCAGGTAGTGAAACTGGATTTTAAAGAATGCTGAATAGTGTTACGAACATTAATATATTGCATTAGAGCCTGCTTAGATAGGAGTGTAGTTCTCATGCTTCAGGATATAGTCTTGAATTTAAAAAGGATCGGGAAGGGTTGTTTATCGTGTGCTGTTGCCTGGTTAGAAACACACAAGGAACTTGAACTCGATGGATTGGTCACTTAAGTATCAAGTGGTCACTTGGTACAGCAATTTCCACATTGTTCATCAGTTTTATTTATGTATGTCCATGTGTACACATTAGGTTGTCTATTTCTTTCTACAGTTAAGCAGTCATGAATGAGGCTAACAGATAAGAAAATTAGAACATTTATAATTAGGCAGCTGGTTATATCGATTACAGGAGATAGTGGGCAAGGAATGTTTTCCTATTCAGTGAATCATATCATGGTCAGCATGTGTATACCTGACTCCCTCGGGGTCTGATCATCTTTTATGCATGACATTAGGCTCTTAGAGAGCAAATATTCTCCACTAACTTGCTCGATTTTTCCTGTGCTATTTCTGAATTAGCTGTTGGCTGTTACAATTTCAACACAGAATAGTCTGTTTACTTCAAGAGCTATGCTATGCTATCAACATAATGGCAGTGTTTTGCTGTAGTGGGTGTGAGAGCAGGATGTTTGAGTGATAGACAGTATGCTAGATTTGTAAAATAGTATGAGTTGATTTTTTTCTAAATTTTAAGCATCCAAATCTTGACTGTGTTCCAACTCTTTAGCCAGATCCTCTACCAAATTTAAATCCATGTTCCTAAGATTTCACAGGTGTGTTCTTGTCCTAGGGTAGAAGCCACCTTCACACCTCTGAGACAAATTTAGCACACTTAAATAATGAAGTTTTCATTCACGTTTTACTTTCTGAAATAGTGCTTAATTTGGCTTGTGCTGATCATAACTCATGGTTTTGGTAAGGGTTTTTAAGTGTCGGAGATGACAATAATATGCATTATTGCGCAAAAGAAATAGAAATAATTTATAAAAGGAACTTTTCTAGTGGGCTTCTTACCGAGCATGGGAATTGCTGGGGTTTTCCTTGAATTGTTCAGAAAATGCTCAACAGCTTCACGATTGCCTTCTAGGATTCTTTTCTCCATTTGAAAATTAGTTTTGAAAGTCCTGCTTCTAGCCCGTTGCAGCAGTGGGTACCTTTGCTTATTTACTGTAGTCTGACAAGTAAATTAAGTTCTGCATGAAATGTTGTATGGCTAGATTGTGCCTTCCCATGGGAGCAGCTGTGGAAGGGGTTGAAAATAGATGAGGGCTTCTAGGATTTCCAGCCTGAGGTAGATTAATCATCCAACCATAGGGAGAAACTTTATTAGCCAGACATATCACTATATGATACATAAAATGCAAGTCTGCTCCGAGAATGTGAGGTCAGATGTTCTTTGCTGTACTAGTCCGTGTTCGGTTCTTTCTGCACACTGTACTGAGGCAAATGAGCTTTTGCGTCTCCTGATGTCCATGACTAAAGGTGGAAGTCAGTTCTGTCTAACACCTGAGCACTGAAAAATGTGGAACAAGCTTCAGTGCTGTGCCTCAGTTACCCCTCTGTGCCCATACTGCGTTGAAGTTGGGAGCGAGTTTAAGGCTTCAGGGAGGTGAATTGGCAGAAGGCATCTTGTAGACCTGCAGTAATGGGATGAGCTCAGTTTGGTTTTAATTCCACTGGTGAGTTTGCTTTACTAATGGCTGTAAGGAACTTCCCCTGCAACACTGCATAAAACTAGCCAAATTGCTTGGAAACCGAAGAGAGGCTAATTTTGGTATCCTAGGAATGCAGGGGAGAGAGAAGAGGTCTCTGATTCCCTTCTTAGCTTTACACAAAGAAAGCTGAGTTGTTTTGTATTTCTACTGAGAGGCTCAGGAGCGCTGATCAGTCTGGTACAGAGTGATGCTCATGAAAGAGAAGCTCCATGAGGCAATAAACCCTTCAACTTGAGAGAATGGTAGTGGAGTGCCCGGTACTCCTGCACTGTTGCTTGTGCATATGGTGTGTGTGTTCCTGATTGTTTCCCAGTGCTCTAGACAAGTTTAATATTTACCTGTGCTTCTTGCTTGGATGTGTGGTGCATGGGGAATTATTCTTTTAGCATCATAATGAAACAGAGAATTGAACTTGAACTACTTTCTAAGTTAATCTTCTAAAGGATTGTATGAGTAAATATTTATAGAGTTGAATCAAAAAGCACATCGGTCAATATGACTGTCAGTTATACCTTTGTTACTGTACCTGTTTTATTTCAATGAAGCTTTAACACCTGAGGAATAACCACAGTAAGCCCTATGTAAATGAGTTTTTGCAGCAGTGAAGCACTGGGGCTCATCATAACTTTTACCGCCTGATACTTTCCAAATATCAGAGAGAAATAAGAGATGGTACCTGGGTTTCGCACACAGAACGTCCAGCCACAATTTGCAGAGACATACGTTAAGATTAAACTTAATTAAACAACGATAAATGTTTGAGGAGAAGATATTGTCTCCTTCCCTAGCATCCCAACATTGGTATGTTAAAACCCGTAACACACTTAAAAGTTCATCTTGATACCAGTCACTATTACACCAAGAAGATCCAAACTGTGGCATCTCTGAAAGATTAAATTTCATCAGCTTTCTTTCAGCTTCTGGAAAAGTGGTAATTAAAATACAGAATTTGGGATTTGGTGGGAAGTGTACTCAGGTGACAGGCATCATGGGCTTCACCCCAAAGAGATGCTGCTGGGTTAAGGCTGGTGCTTACCCTCCTGCAGTGGCTGGTTCTTTATGGAGAGACAGGGGCCCCAGGAACTGTGTTTTCAGCTGCTTTGACGACTAAAATGTGCGCCCATATTGGGACAATTTCATGCTGCTAGAGAGCTAATATAGCAGAAGGCAGGCCTTGCTAGTCTGGTGATTGCAGGGGAAATGGAAGTAAGAGTCTGTTTTCTCTCTCCCTTGACTAGGTGTCCTAATATTTTTTTAAGAGGTGAATTTTAAGTCATCGAAGTGATAAAGCTCAGTGAATATTTTTGTTTGGCTTAACAGCCAGAAACTTAGTGTTGCTCTCCTTTCTCTGACCTGATCTCTCTTCACTTCTGCATTTATTTGCATCGTCCTCCTGCCATTCTCTTAATTTCCCCCCTTTATTTTTTTATATTTTTGAAAATACAAAACTCAGTTGAAATGTAAATCAGAAGCGGAAAGTGAAGTGGGTCCTGGAAATTCAAGTCCTTTCAGTATGATTCTTAGCCTGATTCTTGAGCCCCTGCATATCACTGCTGCCAAGGTGCTTTGGGTGTGAGGTCGGGGTTCCCTCGCTTACAGCCTCACTTGTCACCAGAGGGGTGCAGAATCAAGTCTTTCCATCCATGAATTGCTGCTGCTTCCCCACTCTGGCCCTGCTGGGTCTGTCCTAACTGTGGCAAGGGAATCTACGTAGAAAGCTACCAAGATGGCTGCAGGGATGAAATACAAATACAAAGCGCCTTCTTTGGTGTCCGTTCCTGTATTTCCCGTGTCTGGCTGCGGTAGCAGTGTGCACTAAACCCGTTGCTGAGGAAAGCCAATCATTCAGCATCATCCTGAAGCAGAAGGTCAGTGACAGGGTTTGGGCTTTTAAAGATTTGACAGACAAATGCCTGGGCATCATTACAAAACACCGTCTCATTCAATTATTTATGTAGCTGGCTTTAAACTGAGTAGTGAAACAAAAGATCTGCTTCACATCTGTTGAGCAGATATATTTCACTGGAGATGATATAAAGTTGTCATGACATCAGAGCTTTGAAATACAGCTGATTTCAACTGTAAAAGAATACAGGAATGTTGCTTTCATGTCATGCTTGGAGAAGAAGAAACACAGCAAGATCAAAGGCGATATCAGAAATATCAGGTAAGAGGTCAAGGCATTTGGGAATGGTTCTGTGGAAACAGTAGCATGGAAGATAGCTTTCAGCCCAACACAATGTGCAGGAAAAATGTGCTCAGTACTTCACTGGAGCATGTTCGTCTGAAAACGTACTTAATATGAAATGCTCTTGTATTATATGTTGCAGAATGAGTGGGGTGGGGGTGGGGAAATAGATGGTTCCTGTGTCAAGGTCTAGCAGTATAGGGTCATGACAGAGAAATGAATGGCAAGTCGGGAGAGCATAGTGTATGCACCCTGATGCTACGTTATTTTCTTTTCTGCCTTAAGAATCCAGAGATAAGTTATAAGCCCAGATTGGAAAGCTGTTCCTTTGTGGAGGCTGAGAGGGAAGTCTTCTGTGTGAGCAGTGTTAAACAAACAAGATAAATGTACTAAAGAACAAACCACCAGGATCACAGTTTCTCTTTTAGAGCTGAATTTTCAAGTCTTAAAAGCTCT